ATCCTCCCTTCCCACTCCTCCACCCTTGATCCCCATCTCCTCACTTACTCACCCGTCCGCTTCTCCCCGTCGCGCCGCAATATCTCCTGCATCCCAAACTCCACCTCCCGTTCCCGCACCAGACGGTCCACTTCCCCGTCCTTATCCCTCGCTGAAGATGCGGCTTCCTCGTCGTGGTACACTGGAGCGGATGGAATTGCTGTTCTGCTACTGTGGTTGGGGGGGGGGGGGGGGGGAGAGGCGGTAGCGGCGCCGGGTTGCAGTTTGTGGGTTTTCGATGAGGGCGAGTTGGGATTGGAAGGCGGGGTGGTGGTGGTGGTGGTGGGACATGATGGAGAGCTACGGGTTGAGTGGGTGGTTGGATGGTTGTTTTTGTTTAGTAGAGTGAGGATGGGGAAATGTGTTGTGAGGGGGTTTGTTGTTGTGCAATGGAATGGAAGGGCGTGATTCTAAGGCATTGACCAATTTTGAAGTTCTTTGTTCTTGTTATTGTCATACTCATTTGGGTCAATGGCAGAAAAGAGAAAAGGGGCGGTCTCGTTGAATGATTGATCTTATACCGCTTAAAACATGGAATTCAAAGTACCTAAGTTTCTAGTCTACTCTCACTCGTGAATGTGAACCCATTCACCATGATCCTCGGAGTTATCCTCACTCTCAATCTGAACTTCACTAGTGTCTACTACATCCCATTCCCGTACAATATCGGCCTTGTTCTGCTTTTCCCCCTCTAGTTTTGGTGTTCGTGGGTAAGGTGTGCGGCCAAAGACGGTGGAGAATCTGCTGAAGAAGCCAGCAGGTTTGTCTGCAAGCCCAGCGCCGTTCTCGGAGCTGAGCATTGATAGCCATGCTTCCCTGTCTTTCTGTTTGTATTCTGGATCTGTATCGAACAAGATGGTCCTCTCACTTCGAGATAAGTTTAATCTCTCACCCATCGACATATCTCGTAAAGTTCGAGGAGGCTTGGTAGTGTTGAGCTGTTGTGGGGCTGCAGAGTTGCGTGTAGTCTGCCCCTGATTGTTCTCCGAACTTAGCGAAATGGTCTCCATGACCTCGTCAGTGACAGGAGTCCGAGAAGAGACCTCGCCACATTTCGGGGGCGACTTCAACTCGTTTCCTCGCTCCAACTTCTGCATCCGGGCCTGCACCATCTTCACCATACCTTGTTCTCTTTCCAAGCCCAGACTCACCGAGACGCTAGAACTACTTTCCTTTTCAAGACATCTGGGGCAGTGATCTCGGACGTTGACCTCTTTGCTAACGTCTGCCATGTTGTGGCAGCGGGTTCGGTGGGAGGTATTGCTGCAGAGGCCGACGTGTGTGATTTTGGGCTTGGACAGGAAAAGCTTGTGTGTGCAAGTGTAGATTTGCATGGTGAAGTAGCATTTCTTGGTGAAGTCGGGAGCGATTGGAAGCGGGCGCTGGGTATTCATGTTGGTGTTCGCTGGTGTATAATGTTTGCTTCGGTAGATTTGAAGTTTTTCATGTGCCGTGGGCCTGTACTCTCGACGTGGCATAGATGCTGTTTCGATGTGTTTCCAAGATGTTGAGCAGTAGTGATACCGATGAAGAGTATGGTAAGGTTGAAGGAAAGTGATGGTATTACTAACTTTGAGGATAAAGCAGATATCTGGCAAAGAGGAGTAGAGATGCTCGTATTTGTACACATCAAGAGCACTCGCTTGTGAATCAATAGAGTCATGACTGTGAGATTTTTTGTGAATCGATCTGTATTCGACACATCCAACGAGTTGTGCTTTGTAGCTTATGACACAAACACCGTGCTCGATAGAAAGTGATTCGAACGAAGAATAGTCTTTGTTTGTCAACAGAGCAAGACTCGTAGACATCGAAACGGGTTTCATAATCAAGGACGTCTCAGTGCTGACCGATACGAAGGAAGAAGCATTGTAGCTATGGATAATCATCTGACAAGACTTGATTAAACTTCAACACTTTTACACGAATGCATTGGACTTGCATATCGCATGGGCTGGCTTGCCTCGCTTAGGCCAAAAAAGGGCTTGTTAGAAGACAAAGGCTTGCAGGAATTAGCATACGAGTATAGGTCCAGCTAATACAAAAAGCAATAATAAGCATGGAGTACTAGAAGAAATTTAAACTAGCAGAGAATGGAGATAAAGCAGGGCTACCTCTTAGAGTATGTTTCAAGGTAGGCTGAACAGTAGAATTGCAAATGCCTTGTTTGCATAGGTCTAGTCTAGTCATGCTTTGCGATAATTGGGGTGTAGGTAAATCGAGGATATGAGTTGGAGACCTTCATGAGATATCTACCTCGGTAGCTAAGGATACTACGAAGTTCGCGGAATATCAACGGCATACCTGGCTGGACATGTAGTTCTCATGCTGACTTTTATCTCTTCGGGTTCTGGCCCTCCCCCTCTTCTTTTAGCGCCCCACTTCGCCTCCTAACTTGATGTTTACATCACGTGATGGCCTACGTCAGAAGCGAGGTTTTCTTCACAAAAAGATGCCAAAAGTTTTGAACTCAGACGGGAAAATAGGTATTTTGTATTACATTCTTACATTCTCATCAGCTAGATGAGGCCCCATTATTCCTGCTAGTTTATATGTAACAACGGCTGTTCGCGCATTTTTAAAGTGAAAGAAAAAGGGTCAGCAATTCTTGGTATGGCGCTAAAACCCCCACCAAAGATATTAGATTTTTATCCCCGCTATTTTCGATAGGAAAGCCTTGTCCACAACTATCCCTCCCTCCCTCCTCCAACACAACCAGAAATACATTATCCTTCTGACAAAATGGTTTCTGCATCAAAAGCTGCTCGCGATGCCAAGAGAGCCGCCGATGGCAAGGTTCCCAAGAAGACTGTCGCCTCTCGATCCAAGGCGGGGTCGAAAACCGCTTCAGGCGCCTCCTCGGTCGCCGGTGACGATACCCCCCCTCTTCTCGACGCCGATGGAAATCCTCTCCCCGAAAGTGAACAGCCTGCAGCTGCAAAGAGGCAGGATGAAGTGAAGAGACTGGCGGACCAGATGGACAAGCACGGTCTCTCTGATCGTGTTACAACTGGTGTTCTCAGCTCCCTCAAGCAGAGCCGAGATGTCAAGATCACTTCTTGCTCCTTGGTCTTCCACGGCCGAGTCCTCATCAGCGATACCACTCTCGAACTCACCTACGGCCGCCGATACGGTCTCCTCGGTGAGAACGGTTGCGGCAAATCTACCCTCTTGAAGGCTATCGATAAGCGCGAGTATCCTGTACCAGAACACGTCGACATCTACTTACTCAACGAGGGTGCTCCTCCAAGCGAGTTGGGCGCCTTGGAATGGGTCGTCAAAGAGGCCGAGAACGAGATGGAGAGACTCGATAGACAAGCGGAACAGATTCTGGAGGATGATGGACCAGAGTCCCCCGTCTTGATGGATATCTACGAGGTATATTTTTGCACCCCTCATATTTTATATATAATGCTAATACTTTCTAGCGCATGGAAACCATGGACCCTTCTACTTTCGCCACCCGTGCTTCCCTTATTCTCACCGGTCTCGGATTCAACAAGAAGACAATCACAAAGAAGACCAAGGACATGTCTGGAGGATGGCGTATGCGTGTGGCCTTGGCAAAGGCTCTCTTCGTCAAGCCCTCTCTTCTCCTTCTCGATGACCCCACAGCACATTTGGATCTCGAAGCTTGCGTGTGGTTGGAAGAATACCTCAAGAAATGGGACCGTACCCTAGTTCTCGTTTCCCATTCTATGGATTTCCTTAACGGTGTCTGCTCGAACATGATCGATATGCGTCAAAAGCAACTCATCTACTATGGTGGTAACTACGATTCATACTCGAAGACTCGTTCTGAGCAGGAGGTAAACCAAATGAAAGCTTACCAGAAGCAACAAGATGAAATTGTTCACATCAAGAAATTCATCGCTTCCGCCGGTACCTATGCCAATTTGGTTAGGCAAGCAAAGTCTCGACAAAAGATTTTGGACAAGATGGAGGCAGATGGTTTCATTCAAAAGGTTGATGAGGACCGTGTCTTCACCTTTAGATTCGCCGATGTCGAGAAGCTTCCTCCTCCAGTTCTGTCCTTTGACGACGTTACCTTTTCCTACTCCGGTAACACCAAGGATGATCTGTATAGACATCTCGACCTTGGTGTTGATATGGACTCCCGAACAGCCTTGGTTGGACCCAACGGTGTTGGAAAGTCTACCCTTCTCCGCCTCATGACCGGCAAGCTGTCGCCCACTGGAGGACAGGTTTCTCGCCACACCCACTTGAAGATGGGTGTCTACAGTCAACATTCTTCTGAGCAGTTGGATTTGACAAAGTCAGCTCTCGACTTCGTCCGTGACAAGTATTCCGATAAGTCCCAGGATTACCAATACTGGAGACAACAGCTTGGCAAGTATGGTCTCAGTGGAGAGTCCCAGACTGCTTTGATGGGCACCCTTTCCGAAGGTCAAAAATCCAGAATTGTGTTTGCTCTCTTGGCTATCGATGCCCCCAACATGTTGTTGTTGGATGAGCCTACCAACGGCTTGGATATCCCCACGATCGACTCTTTGGCAGACGCCATCAATGCATTCACTGGCGGTGTTGTTGTCGTTTCTCACGATTTCAGGTACGTAACCCACAATAGTTCCTTTCCTTAAATCAAATGCTAATGCGATATAGATTGCTTGACAAGATTGCAAAGGACATTATGGTGTGTGAGCATCAATCAATCCATCGATGGGATGGAACGATTGGAGAGTACAAGGATCATCTCAGGAAGAAGATGATGGCGGCTGGTGCAGTCTAGGATATCTAGAAGAGAGCAGCTGAACAAAAAGTTGATGGGGGCAATTTTGGGTTGCGAAGGTTGCCAGATACCATCATGATTGCGTTGGATGCGCAGAAGCCCTAGGGTTACAATCAAATCAAGGGTCAAGGGCATCCCTAGCATTGCTGCATGGTGGATCACGGCAAGTGGGATAGAAAGTTTGTCTTTTAGAGGCGTTGTCGTTAATTGAATTATTGATATAAATCATTCGGCAATTATCCAAGATTGTAAATCTGCACGTAGTTTGTGAAGATATATCGTCTCCCAACGATCAATTTGTTATTAAATGCCAAATTATTACATGTGTTCCGGTTCATTCATGAATCCATCAATCGTCTAAAAAGTGTTGAATTCCGTGCTCGTTGGAAGAACAAGCTCTACAAGAAGTTAAGATATTCATTGATGAATACTAGTCTTTCATTTTCCTAAAGAATGTGGTTTATCTACAAGACTTGTCAGAGCTGTACTGCGGCAACAACTCGCTAAATCGCACCTCCTTTACTGCGGGTGAATTTCTTAAGGTCTATTCTTTTATCAATCAGCATAAATAGACCTGTGAATTTATACCAAACCACATCATATCATCAATCTTCCGGCTCCTAACCAGACACATTAGGTTCCTCAACTACACCGTCCATCCATGGCTGACTGGCTGCGCCCCGTATTCGCGCGCAAGACGCCCAATTTGAGCGCACTGCCATACGCAGAACGTCAAGCCACTCCATCGATCGATGAGAGCGTGGAGGGAGATGAGGTTGCTGTCACGCCTGTCACAAAGATGCGTTCCACGTCGAGAGTTTCTTCCATCATGGGTGGCTTCCGCCCCAACAGTCCATCTGTCGCTATGCCCGATGTTTTCCAAGGCATCAAAGATCCTGAAAGTACCTATCACAGGCCCAATAGCGACCAGGAAAGTTACACTCCTTACCTATGTCTTTGCCTTGGTGATACTTCTCACGCCACGGGCATCTTCGGCCAAGGTAGAATGCTAACTATCAGGTCCTTTACAGATGGCAGAGACTCTTCAGGTCATCATGATGAACCAAAGTACTATGGACTCGTTGCCAATCGAATACAACGCTTGTATTTTGCACGTCCTGGAGGCTTACTACGACATGCGACAACTACTCAATGCACAGCAAGACACCATTGAAGAGCTGAAACAGAGCCACACGAAAAACGTCAACGATTTTGAAGCGCTAGCTACTAGGTGGGAGTTGAAAGAGGGAGACTACAAAACTGAGCTGAAGAAGCTTGAAGTTTTGCTCTCCAAGACCCAGGGGGGGATGGAAGAAGTGGCTTTGGCACGCTCAAAAAGCCGAATCCACGGTTCTCAGAGAGCATCAGATGAAATTGGGCGCGGCATCAACACTATTAAACAGAGGCATAGACCAAGTAATTCGGAGAACGAAACCGAGGATACAATGATACACATCCCGGACTCCCCAACAGTAGGGAGACGACGATATTTGAGAAGCAAAGGATCCAGCTTTACACAACCGCAACCAGAAGATATGGGAGGATACGGTGGGGATTTAGGGTACGGCTCGACCTTCGAGTCGTCAACATCAGGATCCAACTCCAGCGCTTGTGCGGTAGAAGGAGGGCCAACAGCAGGCGCTACTCTTGGGCTTGGCATTGCAATAGAGATGCCTCTCCTCAAAGTCCCAGAACCACCGGCCGGTGAAGTAGGAAGCACACGAGGCATGGGCTTCTCATTCAAACCAGGAGATGATGAAGATCTACTGGCACAAGGCGAGGCTAGGGAAGTTGCCAAGAGACACGATTTGGAAAAGCACATTCGACAACGACGACATACCGTTCACAACCAGCAAGCCGAACCACCACCCATCAACGCAGGAGAAACGCAGCGAAGACCCAAAGTCCGCTCCTTTATATCTGAGCTAAAGTCGAGAACACCTACAACATTATCCCCGTTACCGTTCCTACACAGGCCAAACGATCTACTTATGCGAGGCGATTCGACTAGTAGTGTAGTAACCGCCGTCCGCGACGGTTCAGTTGGGAACAGCAGTGTTCTCGGATCTCAGCCTGAACGTCCGGGCCTTGATCGCCATGCTAGTAGCAGCGAGGCAGTCACAGCCGCCGCCCGTGCTATAGCAGCTAGCAACAAGAAATCAACGGCCCGAGACCAGAGGCAGAACAGGTCGGAGCCGCTGGTCCAGAGAATGGTCAGTCGGGAGAGCTCGGTTAATGGGAAGGGCAGGTTGACACCCACAGCCGCGACCACCACGTCAACTGCGGCATCGGGTAGCAACTCAGACGAAAAAACTCAAAAGAGACATGAAAAGAGACTGGCTACTCTTTGAATTTGACAACTTGATGAGAGTTGATGAGGCTATTGGGAATTAGCTTTTATGAACGGGAACATATTGCTAGTATGAAGCAGAGAGAGACAAACTGGCTTTATAACATATTCGCACAATACAACGAACAATATCCACCAGACCAACTACGCGTGCTAATTACCGCATATTGAACATCATATGCTGAGACCGAAACACGCCAAAATCCTAGGCCTGCTTCTTCCGTAGCTATATTAGAAACTCATAAACTACGTATACCTGCGCTGCTAAGTAAAACACAACGTCGTTATATATCCGAGCGCCCGAATAAAGATCAAAGTAAACAAACCCTGCACACGCCAGCATATTCACACACGTTTTCCAATACGTAAAGCGACCTTCTTACTCGAGTACACTATTTCCTAAACATCCGCATAAATCTCGACCGCGGCTTCACAGGCTCTTGATAAGGCTGCAGCGGATAATAAGTCGTAACAGGGAATCCCGCCCCATCGAAACCGCCAGTCTCGTACACAATAGGCGGTCTAGTCCACTTGTGTTCGGGGATCTCTCCTAGCTTCGTACTGTCGGACGCGAAGGACATGATGGATTTTCTGGTCTCGCGACGTGAGAGATGAGGAGGATGAGGTGGTGATATGGGATAGGGGCCGGAGGGGTAGGTCAAGAGAGTCTGCGGTGCGGGGAGGGGTGCTTTGGGGGGTACGGCTGCTGCTTTGCGCTTGGTTTCTGTTGTGCGGGGGGATTTTGAGTCTGAAGAGCGGTTTTTGTTGGATTTGGGACGGACCCACTATTGTGATGGGAGTCAGCTGTCTTGATAGGATATGGATTAAGGTGGGTGGAAGATAAGTAGATAATGGCGTCGAGGATACATAGAAATTAGACGGTCGCTGATTGCAGGATATAGAATGATGTTGGTGTTGAGCAGGAAATTAAGGAGATCTGAAGAGACTACACTTCAAGACACTACGGTATCCCCCCAAGAGCGGCCTACTTGAAATCACTTATGATGCCTCGAAAATACTTCCTCACCCCACCTCTCCTCAATCACACTCTTTCATGTGAGAGGGTTAAGTTGGGTTAGTAGGTAGGCTTAGAGTCTCATGATCAACACTTCTGAGTAGCTGATCGAAGTGGAGCAAGCGTTCTAACATGATACCCCGCAGACTACAGGACAAGTACTAGAGAAGACAGAACCATGATAAAATATGCTCACCCCATTCCGCGTGACAGAAACATCAGGAGAATTTTTAGTTCGAGTATGCTGAACCGTGGATTTCTTCGTCTTGTATCGATGACCATTTCTACTATGTCGGGTATCCGAGGATTGCTTCCCTGGAGCCAACGCCAATGATGAACTTGACAAACGCTTCGATAATTGATCAAAGGTTTGTATTGTTTCATTCCGGGTAGTGTTTGATAGGTTTAACAGGACCTGGTAATCGGAAGACGTACTGCCAACTTTTGTGAATCTTTCAATGATGGACAAAAAACCAGTGCTCAGCCGAGTAAGAATCCTGGATATCGATGAATGGGCTTCTGCTGTGGAATTGTCAGTGATGGGCCCGATGGAAGGTTTGTTCACGAGATCTATCTACCATCACCCGCAGCAAAACCAGCTCCAAAACGAGCTAGATCTCGACTGTATATTTTTTTGACCTCCGCATGGTTCTTTTTCAGCGACCTGCTTAGGTGGGCCTCGGGAGTTTTCTTCGAAGAAGCTTGATCCTTAGGACGCCTTTTCTTTTGTGCTTTGATTATCGAAAGCCCCTTTTCAAGAGCTTCCAGGAGTGATGAGACAGCATCGTGGAATTCGCTCATGTTTCTGATCAAGACCATGTAACTCGATGGAAGCTCGGAAGAGTGGTTGCGGAGACGGCTTTGGCATTTGGTTTGGACGGGACGGGGACTCAGGAACGAAGCACCATGTTCCCACTAGAGACTGCACACAACTTTGTTCGCCTTGCTGGCCGACGAAGGCTTCTGTAGCTCAAAAGGAGGAATGGGGCATCATATGGAGAGCTGTTGCTGGTATTATATTTGAGTATGGCTCGAGCATGAACACCGGTGATGTCTAGACTCTTTAGAAGGGCGGTTTTAAGCGCCCTCGAAGAAAGACCGGATTGGCTATTGCATTATAAGTTAGATGCAGCTGCAGCCAGACGCCAATAGAACCAGCAACCATCAAAGTTGTCTGAAAGAGTCATGCTGTGTTGCTTTGATTTGCTACCTTTGGTGGACAGCATTGTCCTGTCGTCTACCTGAGGTATCTCGGTATGTAGCTAATGAGTGATATGGCACGTGATAATTACAGACCGGAAGTCTTTAGTTTCGGCCAAAAGTAAAAGGCATCTGTAATGTAGTTTCAGTACTTGTATATTCTGTCAAGTATTCATGTACGGTACATAAGAAAGATACCCCTGGTATTCGAGCGAAAGAATAAAGTCACGTGAGACACGCAATTGTGTATCCTGAAGGCGGAACTTTGCAGTCCGCATGAGGGGCTGAAAAGAAAAAGATGCTCGCTGCATGTGCAAGCTGCCGATTCCTGTCTGACCTTTCAAAAATTCGACGAAACGTGGGGGTACCCCGTTCCTGTCATCCTTCCAATCATTCGCTTCTCTCGCTCTCATGGTTGCGCTTGGGCTTGACACCGACACCCTACCTTATCTGGGCGTTGCGATTTGCGGCGCTGGGAAAACATTGATTTGCTCGTGCCTAGGCTATCGATGGTACAATACCGCATTATAAATGCCGCGACTTTACTTGTACCTCACCTGCTGAAGATGCTAGATGCTAGCATAATTATTAGGTTCCGGATACCTCAGTTTTCCAGCAATACCGGCACCTTATAACACTCTATAAAGTACCTAACTTTCTGCCCGGCCCGGGTAAACTTCTATTCTTCCGCGCTTAAGAGTCTACCAAACGAAGCAAGGTAAGGCCAGGTCATAACCTTCTCGACATGCTCCAATGAATATCAAAGTTTCGCGGGGCGTTTCATTATGGTATAGTAATTGGCTCAAGACTTTGCCCAACACCTACGGCAAGTTCCACTCCCATCAAACTTCTATCAGTGCAGCGAAGCATGTGAGAAGGGCCATCTGTTGATTTGCACGTTGCGTGATTCGCAGGGAAGATTAGCAAAGCTACTGTATGTTGCTACCCTTGTTTTGATTGGCGAGGAATAGATGGAATAGAGTTTCGTCTGCAACGGACATATGCCGAGATACGATACACTAGATGCTTTTGCTCCAAAAGTCGGGATGGCCTAGGTACAGAGATATGTGGACCGATTTGGAATACCGGTGTACCAGCCGGCTGATGGTGCCTTCGTAGTTTATAAGCGTCTTGACTTTCGTCCTACTCGAGCACCTAGTGATATGCTTTATCTACCGAGTATCTCATGCCGAAACGTGAATGCTCCATACACAAGATATGAAGCTATCTCACCCAGCACAACCACGTCTAAAAATGGCGCCACCTTCCCTGGTAGAGATTTTGCTTCTGCAGATTCCTGCAGGAGTTTGATATCAATTCATCCAGATTAGGCATTGACAGGCCTGTTTTCGGTAAGGCCGCACGTAATGAAAATGTCTATACACGTTTTGGGACTGAGTGAACGGCATCGCAGATACGATCAAATAGGTAGATGAATACTTTATTATCAACGAACATCTAATGATGAAGGAAGTTCTAACAGGAATTCATACTTTGTTTGCATGCGGTTACGGAGTACCTGACCTGACACTCGTGGCACGTTGGTGCCGAGCCGTGGTGTATTAGACTTCTGATAAGTAAGTAGTACTTGTACCGGTAGTCTTATCTTGAGATATGATTTTCAGAAGTTTGATATATATCTTGGCGCTCTGCAGCTGGCAGTGTGGCAGGTTTTGACTTCTTGTAGCACCGTGGAGGCCATGATATAAGTGATCTTTGATATCTGAACAAAGGTTTCGAAAGAAGTAAGGTAGTGTTAGTAGCAACCGGCTCCAGCTTCCGCTACGTCGAAGCTTGGAGCGGCTCGCCCCGCGTTGAGCTGGCTCTATAGTGGCTAGTGTGGCACGCGGCGGATACAGTGGGATTTCAGAGTACTTGTGGGGGGTTTTCTCCACCAACTCGTTTTCTTTGGTGGACAACGGCCAGCGTAGACTCCCCGGGAAAAGCGTTCCTAAAGAAAAGGGGGAGATGGCTCATATCCGTATGGGGTATCCGTTTGGGGGTATACTGTACAAATCGCACCGTGATCCTTCCGCCAGCCCGAACAATGGTAATGAAGTACCGGTACTCGAGTATTAAGAACTCAAATGTCGGCCATGGAGCACACCAGTAGGATAGGTAGAATATACAACGTGATTATTGCGTCTCGTATAAGTGGGAGCTCTTCTGTTCCACTTGAACTACTCCGTACAGCACAAGTACCGTAGCGCCATACGGAGGTACAGGTTTGCATTCCTGACGTTGGAGGTGCAGTGTTGCCCCAGCGCAAGCCCGAGAACGGACCCTGCACTTTTGGGTTGCATTTTGGCAATCGCAATCGCAGTGGCAGTGGGAACTGTGGGATTATTGGAGCACCAGGAGTGGCAGTGGTGGCACGAGCAGCGAGCAAGCACCTTGCACCGCACCAGGAACTTGTGCTTGACTGTACCCTTGCACGCTTGTGGGCCTCTGCTTCGTCTGCTTATCTCTGCCCACCCACGCTCCTCACCACAACCCACCCGGGGCCTTTGCTTTTGCGGACAGGGTACTGATAAACTTGCAGTCACTTCAGGTTATTATTAAACGCTTCCACAATCCCGCTCCCTCTGCACGCCATGGACTACCAGTCGCTGTCGTCAAAACAAACGCTGCTTCCAAGTCCATCCAGGAACGGACACGCCGACTGCATCTACAAGGAGGCTTGCCAACCTGAAATCCACTTAATCGACTTGTGAATGCCCATGCTACTTACTTATAATCTTCCAATCCCGGAACATCTATGCGCGACGCACTTACCACGACTGCAAAGTTGACGACGCCGCTAAAGCTCTGCGAGTCTGTGTCTGCCATTATCGATAGGACCTCTATGCCTTCTACTGAACTCTGGGGTTATCGATTCGGAAGGCCTGCCCTCTGCGAGCATGTTTTCCCCTCCACGACGCGAGAAAGCGCGGGCGGACGACCCCCCATCTCTGCCCAAAGGCGATTGCCGATATATTTTGCTACACCCTGAATTCAAAGGCTTGAGATGCGCTTGTGTTGGTTTTGCTTTGAACCGTTCTATACCCGGCAGCACATGCGATTGTGGCCATCAAGCATGTTATCACACCCCAGATAAGGACGCTGGCGTTGTCGAAAGGCGGGAATTGGAGGCCCTTAAAGAAAAGATTAGTTTGTTGGAGGAAGAATTGGTTCGAGAGAGACGCGGCGATAGAGGCGCGCTGGTTGAACGCCTCGGTCGGCTCGAAGAGCTCGTGGATACGAACAAAGCCGAAACAGAAACAGAGTTGAAGACTATGTATCGTGGAATAGGCGGTCTCTGGCATAACGTTGGATTGTTGAATAAGCGCACGCCATATTACGACGACCGCATCGAGGGATTGGTCGACGATGTGCAGAGAATGGAGAATAGACTTATAGAAGTCGACGATGCGTCTATCCGTGTAGAGGAAAGGGTTGATACATTGGAAAATTCCATGTCGATTGAGCAACCCATTAGTCGACGAAGAAAGGCATCGACGCCCCCTTCTGCCGTTACGGACAATGCTACTGAGGACGAGGACACGATTGAAGCGTCCCCAAGGGAGGGCAGGGTACCTCTCCACCTAGTGATATCTCACGAGCCTGCACATGTTCAATTGTTCAGGGCACGGGTTGCCTCTGTAGGATCCGGATCTCAGGCATGGACCGTTCATGTATCTCTCCTTCCGACTTTATCTCAACCCTTTCCGTTCGAGAAAGACACTGCCGCATACAAGCGTTGTTTTTCTCGAGGTCTCCAGCAGATGGTTGTCATTCCGGACTCGGATAGCGTAGCCTTTAGGTCCGCTGTCGATGCAGCATTTGCTGAGGTTCTGCAAGGCCGATTATGGCAACCCCTGGTCGCACGGATTTGCGATGCCAAAAACTTGCGAGGACTTCCAATGCTCCGTCAACTTCCGGATTACCTCCTTAGCTGTGATTATGATGCGGAATTCCTTCGGCGCAACTGCGCTGTGGTTGACGAGAGTGGAAAAATTCTCGATTTATACATTGCCATGTCCGAGGATACTCTCTCCTGGGCTGAGCTCAAGGATTCAAGCCCTTTCAAGCCGGGCCTAGAGGCCTCATGGACATACGATCCGTACCTTGACGGACCTACTTTGGAGAGCGATGGTTCAGGAGGACCAGCCCAGGATGCTGCAGAGAAACGACCTGCAGCAGGCGATATTCTTCCAAGCTGGTCACCGTCATTGAAACGTAATGCCTCGGAAATTTCAACGAGGACGCCGAGCTTTGGCTCGGCGACGGATGAAGAAGGCACGAGAGCGAAAATGAGACGCCAAGCCACCGTAGAGGTAGTTGGATGGCGAGCGGAGGCGGTCTAACGATGTGACCGGGAATTGGAAACTTATCTAGACGATGCTATAGGAGAGCTACTGACATATAGACGGTGGGATAAATACCTGAGAAGGTTTTGGCGTCGGCGTTGGAAATATTGTAGAGTGTAGCTATTAGCTGTTAGCAACTACGAAATCTATTAGTTCGTGTTGCATGATATCTCGGTGGCAAAGAATTTGCTATTTTCGGGGAAGGAGCATTTTTATAAAGTCGTATCCATTCTAATATATATACCTGCCTGCCTGTCCTGTCTGCCTGCTTACGCATGGACTGCACTGTACCCGAGTAATGCTTCGCTATCAAATGATCACTAGTCAGCAGATTGTAAGACTTACCTACCCTACCACCGCCTGTATGCAAGAAGAACAAGTGCTTGTTGCAAGTGACTTGATTTCTGGAGCAAGACAACTAACTGTTCATCCACCTATATCTGGCTGGCGGTTGATTGGGTATCTACTATTGTCGTTGCGCTTGCTGTTTGTCATTTGTTTACAATTGACAAGGCTGAACTGGAATGGACTGAAGGGGCGGCTGAGGAAAAAGAAAAAACTGCCCCGCACTCGGCTAAACAAGGGTGGAGAGCCTCAAGACGGGACGGGGGGCTCTAAAGCATCATTCACTTAGAGTAGATCACACCTCACTCACACCTATACCATACACTATACCCTCACGTCTATAAAGTATGCCTCCAACCATATCATCTTGCATGGCATTGAGTTGAACCAGTATCATCCTACCATACGAGCCTCTGCTGCAGATCAATCGTTCTGCTCTGCGCCCTCGACAACCCGTACTCACGCCGAGGATCCCCAACTCCGAGAGACTGCTGTTCATGTCGACGACGACAACCCGTACAACGTAACATAGCATAACATATTAAAACGACGACAACAAATATTTGTGGTACATAAAGGTGTTATCGGAAGGGGAGCGAAGGGAAGGCAGGAAAGGAAATGAAAGAAAGAGAGACTGCTTGGCTATAATACTGCTTCTCTGCTTGCTGTCCTGGCCGAGCTGTAATCGATCATTGTCTCGCTCGCTCTTCCCTCCACATGCGGGTGCGCTGCAATTCAGTCGGAGGAAATCCTGATTCACCGCTGGCAGACACCATCACAATGTCCGATGCTACTTTTCCAAGCAAACGACGCAAGACCAGACACAACCTAACCATGGCGACTCAAAATAACGGTGAGCATCCATTCCCGCCTTTTCATTCTCAGTTGTTATATCCTGCTGTAGCTGACCCTATTCAGACCAACCCACGTGGCCCCTGAACCAGCTTCCCGTGGAGCTCTTTGTTCTAATCGCCAAGCACCTTCCGAGATCGAATATCCAGAGTATGCGTTTAGTGAACAGGGAATTCGAACAGAAGATCTCCGAATATCTATTCAGAGTGGTAGTGGTCCCCTTCAAGCCAGAAATATATGGCATTAATCCGGAGCCCGCACTCTCTGGATCTTTGCAAGGCTCAGTAATGCTGCAGGATAAAGGCATGAGAGTGTTCCAAGGGTATGCGCAATCTATTTGCCCCTTCTATCATGCTGTTACTGATGAAGTGGATTATAGGTACGGACACCGTATCAAGAAATTCGCAATGAGCTTTGAGTTTGACGAGAACAAGTTAGCGAATCCACCGCTCAAGAGCGACCAGGAAGCTATCACGTCATTCTGGGGTATCTATCGTTGGCCGTACCAGAAATACAATAGGTATGCACAGTTGGAGGGACTTGAACAGACGGCAGATGAAACAAGAACGATGGCAAAGGCTTTACGGTTCATTACATCGGCCAGAGAGCTCGGGCTTTCCATTGATGGCGGAATGGGTTGGCTTGCGGGACCTGATATCAACCAGAAAGTCCTCGAACGTGGGGAGAAGCCTACGGTATTTGGGGATTCTAGGTTCATCGCAGAGCCAAAGACCAAGAAAAATAATAAGGCTTCTAGATCCTCTGATTCAATGGCCTCTCAAAGCAACAGCAGCGTATGGGCCGCAAACGAGAGAATGTTGCAAGAAGCTGGCTATGAGGGAGAGGCTTTGGACGCTTCTATGCGCGTCTTGATGGAGACAGAGGATGTTACTGCTATATCCGGAACTACCAATCCGCCGTTTGACAGATATTTAAGCCCGCTCACTCTGGAAGGGTTTAGACGTGCTGCCCGTACCCCAAGGAGCCTCGATAATGGCCCAATTCCCGTAACGACCGCCACCGCAGAGGATTATGCTCAACTGGCGCCACTCATCTCGGATGACGAAGATATTCACAACGAAGAACTTCAATTGAGCACAACTACTTCCTATGTTAATGGCAGCAAGTTCAAGACCGAAAACTGTCCGTTGAAACCAAACGATCTTACAAATGCCCAGAGAGAAATGCTCCTCGAGATCGAGTGGGCGCAACGTGCATTCATGCAGTCATACGCCATTGCAGTCATCGACAATCCCTTCACGTTTAGGAATATCGAGTCGCTCACTATCGCGCGCCTTCCAAATCGACACTTACCGCTTCTCCGCCGCGAAGACTTCTGGGATAGCTTGCCCGCGCTGAAGAAGCTGTCCCTAGCCATCATACCCGATTGGCGCGATGTCGTTAAGCTCCCAACAAGCTGGGTTCAAGATAACAAGATTGCACCCTCGCAATCCGTTTCGGGAGTTTATCAACTTCTTCATGAACAAATTTCACACCGCAAAAACATTAACACACTTCATTTTGAATGGCTTTGTGGAGGAGAATATGCGGATGGCTTATTCTCAAGAAATCAACATATCTTGGCAGCTCCCTTGGTCTCCAAAGCTATGGACATGGTCAACAGAGTCCATACACCCTCCGTTTTAATGCTTCCCCATGTGAAGCACCTTTCCATGAAGAACTGTTGGGCTAGCCCACACATTATGGGCACATTTATCATTTCCTTAAAAAAGGCTGCTCTACAAAGTCTCACGCTAGATTCAGTTTCCTTGACAGCTCCCGTCGCCCTGAACGCGCAGCCTCAACCCCTCACAGGCCACGCAGCAAATCCACACAATGCACAGCAACTGGCTGGACAACAAGCTGCTGCTAATCATCTTATGGCGAACTTTCAGGGCGCAATGGTTGCTCAAAATCCCAACGCAGCGCTTGCGCCTGCAGCTCTTGGATTAGCTGTACTTCAGCTACCGCCACCGGTTGTTAATATTGTTCCAATTACTCCCATGGAGTGGCTCGTGTCTCGTACTAGCTCTTGGTCTCATTTGATTGATACTATCACGCCAGGGACCACCTTGGCCGCTATTCGACATGATCGCGAGATGGGTCCTGAACCAGAAGTGCGAGGTCCAACCAAACTCAAGAAGCTGGAATTCAAGTCTTGTGGATATATTCGTCTTCCCCTAGATTTCGACCAGACCGTTCTCGATCACCCTGATGTGCAGGCACCCCAAATTCATGCAATTGCAAAACGAGCCAACGATATCGAGTGCCACATGATGAAACCTATGGATTCGGCCCTCGGCGTTATCGTCAACCACATGGCACCTGCCGAAGTGGCCACATTAGAAAATGCATGGCACATGACGGTTGGGGGTCTTGCCAACTCGGAATTGGCTTTGGAAGCTCGGCTCGATGGTATCTCGAATGCGGGTCGAGGTCGGTTCGATGGTTTGATTGAAGTTGCATCTACGTCTTCATCGAATAGATGAAAGACGTTAATCAAGATAAATAGTCTGGTTTTCATCTCTGGATAGGATGGATGAGGATCATTTGAAGATTCCAAGCATGGGACGTAGTTATCGGCGATTATTTCTGGTATTGGATCGGGTACACAATTCTCCATCACTGGCGCATTCTGGGTGATGTTGCTTTTGGAGTGTACGAATAAGGTAGTGATTTTAAGATTTCATCCGTCATGGCATAGCGCATGTTTAGGGAGGGTATGGCATTAGAATTGTACTGAAATGATGCGGGTTATTGGCAGGCAGGCATTCAATAGATACATATCGGGATTTAGCGATGAAATAAGGCATGGTCTTCGCATTAGGTCTACAGGATGGGAATAAGGATTGTTCGGCTGAATACGTGGATTGCAAAGGGAGGAAAGGGAAGGAGAAAGGATAAAGATTTACTGGATGGAGATACCCCTATATGTTGATTCACTGTTTGATTGTGAAATACAAATGGCTTTCGAGAACTGAACTGATGAAAGGGAAATATTAACCATACCTACCATATACCTTACCTTAGATAAAAACTCGATATATCCGCAAGCGGTCCCTTAATTAGATCTCCTGCGGAAAGGGAAGCAAAACCCTGTATACTGTATACTGTGCATTCTGTCGAAACTGCTAATCACCAGCGTAGATGATAGAGGTGAGGTGTTGGAGTAGCTTGATGCTGTATAGGTGGGTAGTTGTGAAGTTGGAAAGGCAATGGATATGGTATAGATGGGTAGGTAGGTAGGTAGGTAGGGAAAAGCGGGGGTTTTCGTATGGATGTATGGATGGTGAGTGAGTGAGTATTGGGAGGAGATGACATGAGAGATGAGTGGTTTTGGGAGGCGGGGGAAGGTGAATGAATGTAGATATAGATGGGCTTGACTCTTATACAGTACAAAAAGGAGCACTAGTTATAAACCCTTGAGTTTGCTGGACACAAAAAGCGGGTTAATGTCCCCAGCCACCTGGTACATTATAGATCGCTGCCGGTGTTTTCTCTTCATTGTGAGGCTTCGTATTTCTATGAAGATGGCTTCAAAACTATGCAGGACTTAATCTCCTTTTGGTATTCCGGATACGCTTCCTTCTAATATCATCTTCTGCTGCTCATGTTACATGCACCACTCACACCGAAATATTAGTCCTTTTGATGAGTTTTTGATTCCATGGTCATCAGCATAAACTACTGAAGTACAAAGCCATCCGAGAGAAAAGCCCCTTCATATGAAGCCTCCGCAATGCCATCTGCAGCCAAATTCACGCCCCAAACCAATCAAACCCATCTATGCAGCAGTGATAGCACGACGTTGACGAGCACCACGCTGTCTCGAGCTCAGGTGAGCATCCTCACGACCAACAACAGCCTCCGACTTCTGTACAACCTCCTCGCCCTCAGTCAAGATCAATTCGATGTGGCATGGGTTGGACATGTATGGGTTGATCTGGAGAATTTGTTAATAATGTTCCTGCTTGTGCTTGTGTCTGTATTATGCCACGGGGTTCCTTACACGACCATGGGCACGGTATGTTCGTCGGCGTTGCTTGGGTGCTTGGTTGACTTGGATGTGCTTGACGATCAGGTTGCCGGTATCAAGACCCTTGGTATCTGCGTTGGCTTCGGCGTTCTTGAGGAGTCCGAGGAGGAACTCGGCAGACTTGACTGGCCATCTTGCGCGGGAAACACCGAATTGCTTGCCTATTATTTCCGTCAGAAATGGCCCCTCACCTCATATCGCAAGCAAAGAACTCGCCTTGTGCCGCTCTTCCAGTTCCACCAGCATAACGTCTCATGGGGACAGCCTCCTTGTGCTCTTGGACGTTCTCAAGGAACTTGATTGCGCGCTGGAGCTTCCATCCGTTGATGGCTTGCGCAGTCTCGCGGGTGTTCTTGAATGACACTCTGAGGTATGCTCCTCTGGCCCTCGCCGATTTGTTGGCACTGATCTCTGTCGCCGCGTATCGAACCTGAAGAGCAAGTAATTAGTACGTGTATTTTGTATGAAATCGATTTAGATGAAGGCAGTTGGGGCAGCTCGAGGCGTGCGACACAACTTGGCATAGTTGGGACTGGAATATATGGACCAGACTATGTCAAGTCGAGTAGTTGGAAAGGGCGAAACTCACCATCTTGTCGTCGTTATGATGGAGTCGTTGGTTGTCGTAATGCGAAAGTTCAAGAACGTCGAATTCGCTACTTTTTTCAATTTGCGTCTGGGTGGACGCTAATAAACAGCCGAGAAATTGACTCCATGCCTCAGGCCACAAGGCCAATCAACCCCCTCCACCCCTTGTGGGGCAGGGCAGGCAGGTGCATCCCTCTTGATTTAAGCGAACACTTAGCTTCTTTTGACTATCTTGTCGATCCTGTCTTGTCAACACAGCACACCCACCACAACTCCTTCCCTTGAACACACCGATACAAGTACCAAATACGATTAGGAGATGGTTCTCCAAAAGTACTTTCCCATTTACTGAAGCTCTCAAAGCTTTAGAAAGCTTTTCAAGATGCCCTAATATTACTTTCCCCTTCATCTTCATCTTCATGCATCAGCATTTCACTTCTTGAGAGTCACTTCACCTCCACCTTCCAACAGCAGCTATTGACTCGTTGAGAATCGCCTCATCTTTGTTATTGAATCTCAACTTCTGGCACCACACCAAACACATCGTTCACTCTTACAATTCCTCACATTCCCAAACTCCATACACATCCGACACCATGGCTTCCTGGGATGAGCCAGGTTCCAGGAAAAACGCAACACCAAGAGCCCCTGCTGGAAATTCCAAAGTGAGTATGCCATTCACAGCCCTCTTTAAGACTCCCGTCACACTCTACAGCTCCAAAAGGACTTTTCGATTTGCCTTATGCTAATACTTTCATAGAAGCTCGCGCGGGGTTCCAGAAGCAAGACGAAAGCCTCTGAGTCTGAAGCTGAAGATTGAGATTTCAACTCCAGAGAAGCAGTCGGGAGAGGGTCGACCTTCTGCTGCTAAGAGGCAGAAGACTTCGCAGGAGGTGAAAGGCAAAGCAAAAGCTAAACCCGCCAAAACTGAAGCTCATGGACTTGTGGGAGATCATCCGATAGCTCGGCGAAAAGAGAGTATAACAAGGTAGCAACTCACATTCCTCAATACACAACGCTTTCTCTGTCAAGCTCTCTGTTGAAAAGTACTTTTCGATTTGCCTCATGCTAACACTTTTATAGAAGATTCGGCAGAATACCAAAGGCAAGGCTGGAGTTACTAGAGCTGAAGCAGAAAATGAGAATTCCGACTCCTCCGAAGAGGGCCAGGCTTCTAACAGAATTACAAAAGCAAGGCTAAGACCAAAATCAGCACTACTGAGGATATTGCAAGGAGCAAAGCTATAGCCGAAGCTGACGCTTCAGAAGTTGCCCCAGAATCTTCCGATGGCCCGCAAAGAGACACCCCACGAAGAAAGCCCAATAAGGTAAGCACTTATCTTCGCGCTTCTTTTGTCAGACTCTCTCTCGAAAAGTACTTTCCAGCTCTCTTTGGCAATATCACTAATTTGTCCTCAGCGAAAGGGTGCCGCAAGGGGCTCGGCCAGCGACACAATTCCAGAGACCCCTGGAAGTACGCAACGCGGACGGAAAAAGCAACACAGCTATACCCGCTAGCAGCAACAACGACTACGCCTCCACCAACCACGACGACATTGCCAACCACGACACTAGGAGATGATCTTGTCTCAATCATTATTTTTTTGCAGATATAGTAGGAGAGAAACTGTTGGTATCACAGGTGTTGATATCGTGATCACTTCTCTACCACGTAGTATAGACTTGATTCTGGTTGATGTTGCTTAGCAATCATGGTGGTGTTGACTCGAAGAGGTTATGTTATGCCTCTTTGCCGACCAAGCTACGCTAAATCACATGGCTAGAAAGGTCGGGATCGGGATACTGCCCTTATCCCAACAGAAACTTGAGCCAAAATTCGGTGAAGTTACACCCAAAATGATACTATTCAGCAAAAGTACGTTCAAGATTTCGTACCACTTGGAGTTATAGCGAAAGAAAGCATTGTCTACAACCTTCGCAGGGCATGGGAGCCAATGCCTTGGGTGGTCGACGATGAGGAGCACCCGCTGCTATTTCCCGGACTCGCCATCGAAAATCATGGACCGGATAGGCGCTCTGCTCAATTCATGAACAGCAAGCCTCTGTACTCGAAACTCATTATGCTTTTGAGGGAAATGTAGATGGATCCTCAATTGACGTAGGCAGTTGGCTACTGCTGTCATACCGTCATGCGACACTTCGAGTCGAGCTTGCCTTTTCATTTTCTCATGACTTTGTGGAACGTGGGGGCGTCGGGATGAATATAATTCACAGGACTGAGCCTTACGATACCAGATTATATAGCAGGCTAGATCTTGCTCAGCTCATGCTCCATATAAAAGGCGAGTTACTTGATGAGACGTGCAAATGGCTTTGAACGAGTGGAGGCTGGGGGTCCTAGGTCGTCGGGCGATTTCCCAAGCCAAACAATTGAGGAATATGGATATGATCTCGGAGGCTCACGAGCGCTATCTCACGTTGCATACAATAGGACGCAATGCGATGCCTGTAATATTTCCAAGTAGAGTCTAGCCAACGAAAGAAAATCCCAGCGCCAGCCTCCGTACACCATACATCATACCCCATAATATAGTGATGTATACAAATCCATCATCTAAAACCACTCGCCGCTAACCCATCTGTTGAGGAAATCCAGAGACGCCTCTGGCTGGTCCATTGGCACCATGTGGCCGGCACCAAAGATTTGCATAAAGGTACTGAGAGGGAAATGTTAGTTTTGATGAAAGAAGGGGTGATTTGGAATGATCTTGGGAGAGCTTACAAGTTTCCGCTGTGCTTGACCTTTCCGAACTTGTCACCATTATCAAGCTTCAAGTCCTTGATAGAAGCCTTGTTAAAGTCCTTCTGCCCTGGCCACTCGAGAGCGTTAGTCCAGGCTTGGTTTCCGAGCCAGTTGCAGATGAAGTCGGCGTCACCAGCGTAGATGAGAACTGGAATCTGCTCGAGGATTCCTGGTACAAGACGGTGGAATGGCTGCATCCAGTCACCCTGGAAGAGGAAGTTGCGGTTGATATCAAAGTTACAGCTGTCGTAGCTGCTAACTTCGACACCGAGCTCCTTTTGAACATCTGCCTTGTTCAAGTATTCGCTGATCCATCCAAGAGCAGAGTAGCAGAGGTTGCTAGTATCCTCGCATTTGCCACGGACGTCGTAAACGTTCTATAAAATACTGTTAGTCAAGGAATATAGAATCAAAAACGCTTTTCGTACCTGTCCAGTTTGCTGGTACGGGCCAATCATGGCGTTGTTGCAGTAGATGCTTGCAGGTACACAAGACCAGACACTCTCGCTATCATAACAGTTCTGGATGAGACTTTGGCATCGGGGAAGTGCGTTCTCCATAGCCTGGCATTCACCATCATCAAGCACAGCTGGGTATCCACCCTTGCCGCAAGCCATGGGCTTGTAGTGTTCATATTGGGTCAAGCCATCAGTAAGACCGTTACCGATGAGAACGGACTTCAAGTTGATGTTGCGCTTCTTATGCGACAAGATCTCGGAAGTAAAGACGGGAATGTAATGACCAGCATAAGACTCTCCGGCAATGTGGAAATCCTGCTTAGCATACTCGGGGAACTGCTTGAAGAAAAGGGTGAGAAGAGCATAGACATCCTTTCCAGCGGCAATAGTGTTGCTAACAGCGCTGCCGCTGTAGGAGTAGCCGACGTTAACGGGTTGATCGAGGAAGATGACTGAAGCATTTGCGTTCCAGGAGTATGGGTTGCTGTGAAGCTTGAGGTTCTTGTCAATCGACGAGGGGCCAAGCTCGAGGAAGAGGCCGGTAAGAGAAGAGCAGCCTGGGCCACCGTTGAGCCATAAGATTACGGGATCGGTCTTGGGGTCATTTCGAGATTCAAAGAACCCTGAGTGATGTTAGTGAAGCCAGAGGAGAGATGATTTCGGAATGAACATACAATAGAAGAGATGCTTGTCGTTCTCCTCGTCATCCAGATAACCACTGTACTGCTTGACCGTATCAACACCGAGCTTTGATGGATCGACCTTCTTTGCTCGTAGGTTGTAGGTATCAAGCTTCCCATCAATATCACGCTCCTTCTCGCCCCGCGAGTTCTCCACCCACACGCTCTGCACATCCGCACCCTTCACAGTATAATCCCAAGTACTGGCGGGTCTCTTCGTGTGTGGCTTGGGGTCGGAGAAGAAGGTTGCCTTGTCCATAGCTTCGGGGAAGTGCATGGCAACATCGTCCCAGATAGCTTTGGCTTCGGCAGTCATACCCTTCATCTTGTCCCCGAAGGCGTGGAGCCCCTTTGCCCAGGCATCGGAGACGGGCTTGACAGCTTCTTGCAGAGGCTGCTGAGGGAAGCTGTCACCCAGGACTTGCTGGGGCGAAACCGCCGAGACCGCACCCAGGAGAAGGGTGGAGGCGAGGAGCTTCATGGTGGAAGCAGTAGAGAGAGATAGGTGAAGTCAGGTCAGGTTGGGTCGATGAGATAAGTAAAGATGAGAAAGAGAAGAAGAGAGAGTGATGATAGTGAGATGGGGGATTATGTTTGTTTGTGTTGTATGAAGGAAGACCTGGAGCTGAGCTGGAGCTATGGGATGGGAATGGGGGAGGGCCTACTGTTGATCCGTTTCAGGTACCTGTGTGATTGGTTGCTGGGGCACTTTCCAGTCACCTAGTATATTACGTCGACCCGGATGGTGCCTGCCCGATAAGGATCCTGCACGTGGTCCATGTCTTTGATAATGACGAGTAGGGAGGGTATCGTGATCGTGCATCTCGTGTGTCTTCTTCTGCATTATTAAATCCGCTCTATGTTTCTGTTGATGCCTTTCACTGTCGATATCACCTCGCAATTCAGATAACATTGTATGTAGTAGTAGTATGAAATGATACAGACGCCACATTCTATCCCATTCGTGCCAGCAACTGTGACTAATCCGCTGTCACTATCCACATCCCACCCCACCATAGAAATATACCATTAGCGAAAAGCCCAATACAACCCCTCTTCTCCCCTCTTTGAACAGCATAAACAAAAATCTGTAGAGCAAACAAGCCCTCACAACCGTCAAAATGACTATCAACCAGCCCTCCAACCAAATCAAACTCACCAACGTCTCCCTCGTGCGTCTCAAGAAAGCCAAAAAGCGCTTCGAAATAGCCTGCTACAAGAACAAGGTCCTCGAATATCGCTCGGGCATTGAGACAGACCTAGACAATGTCCTGCAAATAAACTCCGTCTTCCTCAACGTCTCCAAAGGCCAGACCGCCCCCTCAGCCGACCTAGCGAAGGCGTTTGGGCCAAAGACCCCGGTGAATGATATTATCCTCGAGATTCTGAACAAGGGCGAGTTGCAGGTGGGTGAGAAGGAGAGACACGCGCAGCTGGAGAGGGTGCATAACGAGGTTGTGGGAATCGTGGCGAGCAAGTTAGTTGATCCGAAGACCAAGAGGGTGTATACAACGGGCATGATTGAGAAGGCGCTTGAAATGTTGAGTTCGCAGGGCTCGCAGGCTACGGGAACTGCAGCACCTGGGACGCCGGCTGTGGGGGAGGAGGGAGAGGCTAAGCCGAAAGTCAAGGAGCATGTTTGGACTGGTGTCGTTGCTTCTAAGAGTGCAAAGAGTCAGGCTCTGGAAGCTATGAAGGCTTTGATTGCACAGCAACCTATTCCTGTGGCGCGCGCCAGGATGAGATTGAGGATCACTTGCCCAACGGGTATTTTGAAGCAAGCTACGAAGCACGCTGGTCCCAAGGAAGCTGGCCAGGAAGATGGGGAGGAGAAGACCAAAGGGACTGTTAAGGATAGGATTTTGAGTTACATTGAGCAAGTAGAGACTCAAGATGTCATGGGTTCTGAATGGGAGGTGACTGGATTCGTTGAACCTGGGGCTTTCAAAGGTTTGGGAGATTTCGTTGGAGGTGAGACTAAAGGTCAGGGACGAGTAGAGGTATTAGATATGGCTGTCACCCATGAGGATTAGATATTTGTTTGTAGACTTTGCTGTAATTAGCGAGCATATCATAAAAGGCGTTTAGGATACCAGGCATATGGCAGTTCATATAATCACTAAATCACCGAAAATCATAAAGATGCTGCCATTTGGTTTCATGTTTGCTCAGTTGATTGAATGCACTAAAGTACACTGAACACCTGCACCATGCAGATGCTTCATGCAGAAGGGCAAGAAAGCCAGATGCAGTGCATAAATCCATCGCAAATCCACGCGCCCCAGCCAAATGTATCCCATTCCCGCAAACGCTTAACCACCCTTCTTCTTGGACACACCAACAGTACGACCTCTGCGACCGGTAGTCTTGGAGTGCTGTCCACGGACACGGAGACCCCAGTAGTGACGGAGACCACGATGAGCACGGATCTTCTTCAGGCGTTCCAGATCATCACGGAGCTTGGAGTCGACAGCGTTGGCGAGGACCTGCGAGTCTTTGCCATCAACGATATCGCGTTGACGATTGAGAAACCAGGTTGGGATCTTGTACTGGGTTGGGTTTTGGATGATGGTGACGATTCGCTCCAGCTCTTCTGAGGTAAGTTCACCGGCACTGATCGATATGTCAGTTAATGTCCCACGCTGCCTGCACGATTATAACCCATACCGCTTGTTGAGATCGACATCGGCTTTCTTGCAGACCAAGTTGCTGTAACGGCGTCCCACACCCTTTATCTTGGTGAGCGCGTACATGACCTTTTGCTTTCCCTCGACATTGGTGTTGAGGAGTCGCAAAATAAACTGGAAATTGCTCTTCTCGGAGCTTGGGACAATTAGCATGAGGTATAACAATCTTGAGTGTCGAGGCCTTACCTTACGAGACTCATCTTGACGGTTGTCGAAGTTGAAAATGGAAGTTCAGGACAGGCAAATTTAGAAACGATTTGTGCGGGAGCAGAGTGTATCTAACCTAATAAAGGCTAGCTCGTTCAGATCACGTGCGCATAAATTCCCGCCTAGGAACAAAACCATTTTTCTCGCAAGCTTCAACTCAAACCCATCCATCTCTACCAAATAATCCCCTCTAGAAAAGCAAGATCTTTTGCAGTCGTAATTTTACCTCCCTCGAATAAATATATATACAGCAAGCTAGCAATGCCATACCTACCGCGAACACACCACTTCTGCCTCAAAAGAAAGTACTTTTCGTCTCGCGGAAGCTGTCTATCTGTTCCATAGGCGTCTGGGGATGAAGCCATTGCTGTGTAGTGTGAAGTGTTAAAGGTCACTTATTCTAAAGAATAAATCGACCAACCAACCGACCAAGAAATAGTAGATTAGAGAAGCGAGCAAGAATAGTTGGAAATGATTACAAGTACGTATCTGAGCTGTACAGTAAGTACACTATATAATGATATGATATGATATGGACAAGCCGTCTAGCTATGCATCCTTTTCCATCCCATTATCCCATCCCATCTATTTATACGTAATATTAGCAATCCATAAAACAACGCCGATTATTCCCAATCTCCGTCGTAAATCATCCATGTTTCTGAACCTCGTTAAACAATTGCGTGGTTTCGCTTTCCATTTTCCTGCCTCCTCAAGAACTTCCTCTTCCTTTTCTTTTACTACGCGCGGTAGGATGCTGGGTGATGCTTTGGCATTTAAGCCAAAGTTCCCGTTTCCGAGGTTTGTAGTCGGTATTTTGTTGCCATTGCCATTCACGATCCAGTTTGCAAGCACCTGCGTCGCGTCCGCCGTCGCGTGACTCGTCCACAGGAAAACGAGCGTCAGGATTGCGGCTTCGACCCAGTGATTCCAGAGGCCGAGGCGTAGGAGTCCGGTCGTGTCGCCAGCGAGCCAGATGTGGTATTGCAGGATGTATGTCTCGAGGGAGCAGCGGCCGAGCCAAGCGAATAGCGCAGAGTGGTAGGTTCGGAGGACGCGGTGCGAGTTACGCAGGACGACGAAGGATAGGATGGGGATGAAGGAGATGTAGGGCTGCCACCAGTTGTAGTCCTCCTTGTTGGGTGAGCGTCTGGTAAGTAGCCAGAAGCCAGGGAGGAGGCCGAGGGCGAGTGCGATTGTTACAGTCTTGAAGGATGTGTGGTATTTGATAGTGAGTTGCAGGGCAGCGTCGATGATCGAAGTAGGCCTTACGGATCCAGATCGAAGTCTGGACGTTCGGTGAACAAGCAGGCCGGTTAACATGCCAACATACACAATGTACATATCGAGGAATGTACGAAATCGCCATTCTCCCATATTCCAAGAGATCCCACAAGTGTACCCTAGAATAGTACCAATAAATTCCAGAACGCCGGGTATCATTGTGAATGCAGTCGTAAACGCAACTGAAAGAAGAATTTTTGCAAAGACAAACGTGAGATTCGAGTTCTGCTTATTCCCGATTCTAAGCGTAAAGTAGATTACAAGGAACCAGAAGCTGACCAGTGGGGCAAAGTAGTAGAAGAGATAATTCGTCCGCATCATATAAGGCAAAACACAGCTCAGCAAGTTGAGTCGAATCAAGACGCCAGCAATTCGCTTCAGAGAATAATCCTCTTTTCCCAGGAAGTAAAGTGTGTGACCAAATCCAGTCAGAAAGAGGTAAGAGGCGAAAAGGAGTCGAACAATTTCATATAACCACAAAGTTCTCGAGGCATGAGTATAGTGGTAGATGAGGATGAAAGCTTGCATCCAGCCTTTCCACTCATCCGTCTGAGTTCTCGAGAGAAAGCTGTCATCCTGGGAAGTACCTGCACCTTTACGCGATGCCGTGAGGTCATTTCTCTTCACTGAGAGGAGACCAGCGATTGCCAAAGTTGAGCATGCCGTTAAGAATTCTCGTTTCCGGAATTGCTTTTGTGCTTTCTCAAAGACTTGGGTCCGATCCGCGTAGAAACAAAAACAAACGACAAGAGCAAAGATTGCCAGTGCATTCAGAACAGGCGCAGAAGGTAACATGCGGCTTATTCTCGCAATATGGTGCCGGCGCATATATGTAAGAGTTGGCAGTAATAGCAGGCCTAACACGAGTACGATCCATTGAATTACACTGGGGTGTGTGTAGTTGCTACAACACGTTCGGTTGAAGGGATATCCTTTTGACGCAGCATCGGAATTGCAGCGTAAGTTGAGGAGAATATCTGCCTTACGATGAGCTACGTTATTGACAATATGAAGACCGCTTTCTTCATATGCACCGCTACCAGCCCAGCTCATCAACGAGTAGCTCCAGACAACATCAGCGCTTGAGTGTTGTGAGACTTGTTGGAGGTAATCGTTCATCTGGTCGATCTTTTCTGGTGTAATTGTTACTTCTCTTGACGGAGACAAAGCTGGATACCACGGAACTTGTATTGGCGCAAGGAGTAAGAAGTTGGGTGACTGTGAACGAGAGGGAAATGGCCGCGACTTTGGAACCATTGCTTCCTCGCCGGAGGCATGATCCATATATGGTATGATGGCATCAATGGTATCTCGAAAATCCCGAAAGTAATTCTCCTGGCTATGCCGTGCATACCAAAGTCCCGGAGCCCCAAGTAATATCAAGCCTGCGCTTTCATCTTCTTCGTCAATAGTTGCATCCAAAGGCTCTGCTCTGTACTTCTTAAGCTCCTGGTCTAGTCCGGTCGAATTTAGCCAAGGGTCCCAGATAAACTGGACACTAACACCGCCAGAAACGAACTCAAGATCTGTATGCTTCGCATTTGAGTCTAACAGCCCTGAGATCTCCTCCTCTGCTCGCTCCTGGTCCATCTTCTTTGCGACTGCACAAAAGATTTGGCGCGTTGTAGAGTCTCCTACGAAGACTAGCCTTCGTTTGTGGAAGCAATCCTGGATATCTTTCTTCATGTATTCGTGCATAATACACCCGGGGGGCTGCCAGTTCTGGAAGGGGTTTCTCGAGGTCCATCTTGGGCCAGGATCGAGCCATTGGCCTTTATTGAGAAGGGCGCCGCATTTGAATGGGTCGGAGACATCTGCAGAGGGAATGAGTTAGCTCAGTCTGTAGAACGTGGGGGATGTCAGAAGTAAAAATAAAAGCATACCAATCCAGCAGTACCTATAAACGACCCCAACAATGACAAGCGCAAGTAGGAATTGGAGAACGCGGCTGACGGTCATGGCGACATAGTGGGACTTCGCTGAGAACGCCAACCGAGGACGTAGCATTGCACTTCAGACTGCAAGGAACCAAAATCTTGTGAATCTCCGCATTGGCACGCTGTGCGATTGATCAGGGAGTAGATGGTGGAGACAGCAGTGGAAGATGGTATCAGAGTTGCGACTGACTGTGAGAGAGAGGGAGAGAGAGAGAGAGAGAGAAGAGTCGTGAATAAATTCGGAAGGAAGAAAGACTCGCTCGTCCATCCATCATCAGACAGCACCCGTTCCTATCCTGATGCAGACCCAGATCCACCAGGAAGGGAAGTGGCAGCGGCCTGTGTGTCATATGAGATTTTGCTCTTGGCATAGTCTTGGCTATAGTCAGGTCAGGCTACTTGGCTTGGCTTGGCTTGACTTGACTCTGTCCTTTCTTACCTTACCGTACGGAAGCGTATCGTATATAGTCCCGTACCCGTACTCGCCGCATCTGTCCTAAACCGAGAGATCTTAGGTAAGGTACGCATCCGGAAGGATAAGGATAAGTTTGTACACTAGATTGATATCTCGTTTATCCAATAATTGCTTGTTTTTATAAGCATCACCTGCAGCCTTTCAACTTTGCGCTATCCCACGTTTAAGCTTACGTGAGGGCTTTACTCGTATATCCTTAACCTTACCGTACCTTTATACCAAAAAGTATCCGTACTTTGCTTTGTGAAACAACGCAAAACTCTTTCGTAGCAGTCTTCAATATACGAAGTACCTACTACGCATTACTTTACGAACTAGATACCCTACGGAGATACCAACCTTTCCGGCCCGCCCTCAATCTAGTCGCGACTTGGATGCACGCCCACCTGCTCAAACCATCCAACGTTATCTTCCACCCCTTTCTTTATCTGATGACGCCGTCATAATTGGTTCCCGTCTGTGGCTGACTGGATATAGTTCCGCAGTTCCGCAAACACAGAGAAAGAGAAAAAGAAGAATCTAGACGTGAATAAAAACTGCGCTGACCGAGAGATCTTACACTTCTCGTATTTCCGAAGACGAACGAGCTTCTGCCAAGTTTCCCATCTTCCAATGGTAATGCCATGTTGCGTCCGGTGGGAATTTCAAATTGACGGAGTACATGGAAGCCCCGCCCCGCCCCCCTTGGCGTTGGGCACATCCGAGTTCAGGTGGAGCGTGGGGAAGGCCTTACGGACGTACAGTACTGTATAGCCAAGTCAAGATCATCTGATCATTCATGAGAGAACTAAGCAAATGTTGGAATACGAATGATAGACAGAGGCTTGAAGCTAGCATAAGGTAAGAGGTTAGAGTCAGACTAGATTATGATTAATACGTGTGCGTCGTAGAGAAGGGAAGAACCTGTCTCTTCATAACCAAGTAACCGCTTTCATCGTCACGTATGCTTATGTAAGCGGCTAATTTCAACCACCAGAACCAGTGAACCAAAATTCCTTTCTTTGCATTTGAGATTTCGTACCTCTCCACGGTCAACACCGTATTTACTCCCCAGACATCTTCAATCTATCTAGTATCTTATACTCCCCTCTGCGTCCTACTTTCTTCCTAGTTATACCCTAATAAAACCCTTTCCCCCACCAATAACTATCTCGGTTTACTTTTAGCATTCATTCACATCTACCATCTACCATTCATTTCCTCTTCCATCTCCCCCCAAACACAATCTCCAAACATAATACCTCCTCCCTTCATCTCAAGCATACCATCTATCCCACCTCGCTCCCAAAGCCGTCCGTCTTCAACCTCGCTCGGCCCGCTTCCTCTCCACAGCAGGTCTTGAGCTGGCTGCAAAAATTCTCTTCTTGATTTTTTTGTTTATTAGACAAGAATAAACAACCAGTCAACGACCTTTGAGTGCGGAACCTCCCTTTGTCTCTATGGGCAGGCCTTCTGCAATTTGTCTGTTGATACAATATTTGCATCGTTGCGAGATTACGTGCGTGGGATGGGTAGGGAAGGTATGGGGTTTGTGGTGGGATGGGCTGGTATGAAGAGATGGAGAAATGGGGTTGGGGGATTTATTTGGGAAGGGGGGATATTTGGTATGTTATGTTATGTCTTTGCGTGTATTCGAGGGAGAAAGGTTTGTCATTCCAGCGTTGTATTGATACGTATATAATATAGGAGATACAGCGTGTCACGGAGACTACCTAACATGAGATAGTATTGATTTGACATACTACCGATAATCAGCTTCTCTGCCAGGGTCTTGAGAACAACTCCAAACAACTGTGTTCCCTTCATCAAGATTGATCCAGCCAACTTTCGATTCCCTTGAAGTTTTTCCTCGTTGCACTAGGTACTGTACTGTAGGCAGCGTTCATAGGTTGTCTGGAGTGAGGTAGCTTCCCAAGAAGGCTTTACAGCATCCCTTGGACTAAACCGAGTCAGAGAGCTCTGCTGCTTAATGCCTGGTTCCTAACCCCATCAATCTCGACGTGAAGCAAATATAGATAGCTATCCACCATCCAGTACGATCTTCATTCATTTATTCATCCATCCTGCCTTCCACCCCCTACACCATCCCCCCACCAAACAATTCC